CGGTTTTTGCCTTGCAGAGCCAGCTGCCGTGGGCTGCGCTGGGAGCTGCCCCTCTCTTTTGCACCTCAAAAGCCCAATCATTAGTCGCTGGGCGAGAAAACGGAGGCAGAAAGTGGCCGAGGGACCTGCTGGTCTTGTCCACGTGTTTTTAAGGCATATTTTGCAGGAAGTGGGTGCTCCCGCGTGGCTCCGTTCGATGAGGGCGGCAGGATCGGGGGCCGGCCGAGCTCCCCATCATCCCAGCTGCACCTCCCTGGGTGTGTGGGAGAGCAGTGGAAAAGGAGGAGAGAAGAAGATTAAAGTGGGACTCGCCGATCATTTATTTGGTTTGTGCATCGGACTAAAGCAGCGTTTCCTCCTTCAGATCTGCTGGCTCCAAAACTGCCTCTGGCGCTGGACGGGGAGGGGACTGTCTCGCTTGGACGTGACACCCGAGTGACACCGGAGGAGAAGGATGGACAGCTGCAAGGTTCAACAAGCTCGATCTGTGGCCCGCTTTAAAAAGGCATTTATTAGCTGTAAACCTCTGTCGTGGCGTACAGAAAAATGGGGAGAGGAGCGGGAGATTGATCAAGTTTGAATCCTGGTGAGAGTTCTCCTTAGAAAAATGGTTAGAGGGAAAAAGAAAAGGTGGCTTTGAAATCAAAACTGTCCCGAAAAAGAGCGTTTCTGCTAGTTAAAAGCCTTTAACTAGAAGAACTTTTTGTGGTTTTTTTTTTTTTTCCTTTACATAGTGCATCTGCTATCATTGAGAATTATGGTCCGTCTAGAAAAGGGCCTGTGCTTGGGCTATGGAGAGGCTGGTGGTGGCGACAGTGAGTGTCGGTGAGCGGAGGTGTTACATGTGTGCTTCGGAGGCAGGACAGCCCGGCAGCAGCTCCCCGTTCACCACCGTCTCCGAGACCAGCATCTTGTCTTTGCCGGAATCCAGGCGCTGCTTCTTCAGCATCCTCTGATGGACCAGCGGGACGACAGAGAGCACCAAACCGCCGATGATGGGGGGGACTCCGGCAAAATAAAAGGCCGCGTTGTAATTCCCAAAATAATCATTGAGGTATCCTGAAAGAGAAGGACAATGGCGGTTATAGCCACGTCAGTCTAACGACCGCCTTGTCTCCTCCCTCGAGTGAGAGCTGCAGCTTGCTTCAGATTTGGGGAGATTTGGGGTTTTAAAACAATCTTGTTTTCCATTGCACTCCTCGGAATTTTTACGCCCTGGATTAAAGGATGTGCGCAGCCAACGTTGTGTAGCAAGGAAGCCAAGAAGGAAAGCCTCAGCCATCCTTCCTAGTTAACCAGAACAGGACACAACCAGACACATCCCAAACATCCCAAACGCAAGCTGAGACAGTGTTAAACAACCAAACATCTCAGGTGGCTCTTCCTAGCGCCTTGCCGGCCAGGAGGTGACAGGAAAAGCGGGCAGGGGCTGTTCCTCTGCAGATTGCCTCCATCTGGAAGCCCTGCTTTGCTTACGGGTATTTTATCTACATGGGGATGTCAGCTGAAAAATACGTGCTGCCAGTTACAAACAATAACCGATCCCTTAAAAACCAATGAGGTTCTGCACATGTTAGTTCGGCAAGTTCCAACACAGCCAGGCATCCTTGGAGAATAATACATTGCGATTTATCGGCACTGGAAAATCCCTCCGAGTTTCCTCCTGTGTAGACACTTGCCCGGGGATTACATCCATGAAATGAGCCCCTTCACCCAGCCCCGTGTCTAGCAAGCCCGATGCAGGGGGTCCTGCAGCAGCACCCTAACAGCGAGATGTCTGCCACCCCCACGTTCCTTCACGAGGGCGCTAAACTGAATTTCGCTGCCAGAAGCAGAAAGATCAGAGGCACTTATACAGCTTTAGCTTAGCGATTGCTGATGCAGACGGCCTGCTGTTCAACGGCCAGCTTTGGCAAAGTGCTCGCTGTTAAGGGCGTTGTGGTTATTACTGTGCTTAAACACATACCCAAGTCTTGGGAAGACAGAGGCTCGGGTGTCTCCATCTCTAACTTTGATTCAACAATCCAGGGGCTGAACTTACCGATTAGCAATCAGTCCCCAGATATCTAAAAGGACTTCTAGAAAACTAATGTCTGCCAATTTTTAGCTCAGCTTCAAACAGAAATCAGTTAACGTGACCTTGGGTCGCTCTCGCTGTTGCCTCACTGGTTACCTTTCATCAGCCTGGAGAAAAGCCCTGAGATGCTACAGGACGTAGCATGGAGTGATGCTACACCCGTACTTCAAACCCCACGTGACACGGTAAGCCAGAAAAATTCAAAACCGTATGTCTGGTCTCATGCCAAAATATCACCGTGATGGTATGCCGCTACAAGCATCTGCTCCCTCCCAACAGCTGGATCCAGGTCTGGCACCGCAGCACTACCAACCTGCTATCGGCGTACCCGCGGTCATGGGCACAGCCATCAGCCCCATGAGGTACCCTATGGCCTGGGACGCCTGCATGGGGCCCACCAGCTCGAAGGCGATGGGGGCCATGATGGTGGTGAAGAAGCCATCACAAAGGCCGAGGAAGAGGCAGATGACAATGACGCCCTCGAACCCTCGGCACTGGGGGATCATCATGCACAGAATGCCCAGCAGCACGAAGGACACAACCTGGGGAGACAAAAGTGGGCATGTCATTGGGGTGCAGGACGAGTGGGGATGGGCAGCAGGAAGTGTCATGAAGATGACACTGAACAGGTCAACGACATCGCCCCCTCCTCTGGACCCAGCAATGCCATCCACCCTCTGCTCTCGTCTCGGAGAGGCCTTTAAGAATAACCTTTTAAAGAAGCTTTAGGAAGGATTATCTGCTGGATTAGCTGCTAAATGTCAGCAGTTTGTTTTTCAAAAATCACAAGAAGGTGAGAAGGTGTCCAGCAGTTTGGGAAGAGTTGAGACCACAGAGTTTGATTGCTGAATGGACACCAAGACCTCAGGTCAAGTGTGTAACTTCTGTACACCTTTCTGTAATAAATTTTCTTCCCTAAGAGCAGACAAGGGTGTTAGGTAATGGTCGGTAAAGGATTTGCGATCTGTGGTTGACAGTTATTAAGCAGATTGTCGATAGAGAGGTTATCCCCTGACCCGCAGTTGTTAGCCAGCAGCTACGCGGAGCGTCAGACACAACGTACCTGCAGATAAATCTTCTTCAGCCCGGGAATGCAGTCGCCAATGCGGCCTGAAACCAAGCGCCCCAGCCCTGACATGGCTCCGAGGCAAACCAGGAGGATCCAGTCTTTTTTGGTTTCTTGAAATCGCTTCTCCACATATTTTACCTAGGATGGAGGGAAGGACGCACAGACACGAATCCTCAGTAAGTTAATCCCTCTCATATCCCAAAAAGGGACAAGACTTCCCGCAGAGGGCTTGTGGCTTTGGGGGTGGTTGTGTGACCCTCATGTTCACACCACGCTGACCTGCACACACCACCTCTGCCCACCCCAAACCCAACAGCCCCCTCCTCTCCCGCTACCGATGCTTGTCCTCGGGAGCCACGGGAAGCGACCGCTCTGCCCACCTTGGCGCAGAGGACAAATAGGACCATTAAAAAGCTGTCTCCCCTCATCACTGTTCCTGTTTACACGACGTGCCTGCAGCAGTTTCTTAGCTTCAAGGCTTTTGGTGGCTCTGTCCCTACTGCCCATCTCCACCTTCCCACCTCCTCCTCCTCGCTTGCACGGAGGAGCCCCTTCACTCTGGGCAAAGGGACCTCCCTCCCCTGCCAGTCCCAGCCAAGGCTCTTACCAGGTTCATATAAGGTACGAGATAGCCCAAGACAGCAGTGGCGATCCCAAACGCCCAAATCCGATAGGTCTTTCTCCGGAAAACCCTCAAGTTGAAATACTTGCGCGTCTGGGACCAGCACTGCTGCCGCATGCTCCGGCTGCCCAGCTTGTCCTGCCCATCGTGTTGAGAGTCACAAGAAGGCGGCAAGATGGGCCGATAGGTCAGAGACAAGAATATCTGGATGAGCATTAAGGCACTGAGTACTTGGAAAGTATGCGCCAGCCCAATGGCCTTCCCGACCATCTTCAGGAAGAAGGGGAGCGGCACGGAGATGAGGCAGCTGCCGCCGGCCACGATGCCGTTGGCCAAGCCAAGGCGGCGCTTGAAGTAGTGACCAAGGATGACGAGTGAGGGCTGGAAGGCGAAGGAGCTGCCGCAGCCAAAGAGGATCCCGTACGTGAAATAACGAACTTCCAGAGACCTAGTGGGAGAAAACCAAACACATGGAGGTGGTTACGTTACGCAGAGGCAAGGAAGCCTTCTCCCCTGCGGTCCTGCAAAACCTGGAGTCAAGACCCAGGTCTCGCACACCACAGGTGCTACACAGACAGTCTGACCTCGAGGAGCTTATTCCCTAGCCAAAGCAAGGATTATCCTCATTTCACAGCTGCCACGTTAAATCTTCGGGAAAATGCAGTCTAGCTGGGGAGTGCTTTCTGCAAAGAGCAGCCAACCTGCCCTCCTTGGGAAGCTGACCTAACTTGAATGGTTTTTAAATTACAGCGAGCAAGATTTTCTAAGGTAGGCAGGGTGGGTTATTTTTAGCTAGAAATCCATTTTTTTTCCACTGAAAGGACTAATTGAAAACATTGTGCACCCAGTGTTTGAAAGCAGAAGGCACCAACCCTGCTCGTTATTAGGCACTTAGGAAGGGAACATTGCATTTCTGCCCAGGTTCCAGGCTGGTTAATTAAGTTCTTCTTCTTTAAGCTCCTCTGGGAGCTTCAATTAGACAGCTAATAGATCTCATTTGTACCTTACATTGGTGGCTGCACTCAAGGAGGGAGCAAAGTGGCTGCTCTACAGAACAGGTGGAAAGTCCTGAGAGCCCTTGGAAGGAGCCGTTTCCCTGTTGCCAGCCTGGTTTTCCCAACAGAAGCAGCTGAGAAAGGAGCCTAAAGTTAGGCTGCTTCGTTAGGTGCAAATAACCCGTTGTGTTTCTCTCCAGGTGAAGAATTTTTTTCTTCATCCCCATGCAATACATTCAGCTGCAAAAGTCTGCCATGAAATACGGCAGGGGAGGAGAGTGCGATGGAAACGTTTGGGCAGCTCACCGGGCAAGCGATGCTGCACAAACAGGATCTTTACTCAGAACAACTCATGTGAAATACTGAGTGCTGCTCGTGAAGCAAGCGAGAAGACAGCAGCCCAGATCTAACGGAGCAGTTTGAGGCTGAGAAAACGTTTACAAGCTCATCATTTCTTCCATTACACACTCGTCCCTTTAGCTAGCCAAGCAGAAAGCAGAACGTGCTTGCTGTACCCAACGTCTCAAAGACAAATGACTGTCATGAAAGGCAATTTCCAGCTATTCCAGAATGAAGCCACATCAGAAACTCCCTCTGCAGGAGCCAGGCAAGCAGCTGGGCTACGCAGGCTGTCTCTGACCTCCCACGCACCAGCCCTGGCCATCTCAGCTGGGTCACACCAGCTTTGGTACTGCAGCTAAGCTGACGTGTCGGATAAGTGGAGACAAATGCCGCGGTTCCCATCTGCTCCCCGTTGACGCTAAGACACCCCTGCATGAGCAGGGGCTCCTTTCAGCCATGCTTCTTAGTCAGGATTTCCCACCCCGCTCGCTGGGAATTGGCCAGCTGCTCTCCGGTGGGAAGGGTGGCATCGTCTCCCATGGATAACAACATCTCCTGGGACAAAGAGGTCTCCCTCCAACAGCTGCCTCTTACTTACAGCTCACAATGGGAACGGCCCTGGTTCAGCCCTGCTGGCAGAGGTTTGGGGGATTTCTCTCTGCAGGAGAAACCGGGCAGAAATTGCCGAGGGGAAGGAGAGGCAGATGAAAAGGGACTCAAACCCCACCACAGAACATTTAATGGCGCAGAAGAGGAGGGCTGGGAGGGCATTGGGGGGCGTATGAAGACAGTCCTGCTGAACCGGCCACCATCTCCCATTCCTCACGTTAAAACATCCCCCTGAAACCTGAGGGACGGTGAAGTCTTAACACAACTGGGATTTCTCTCTTCTTGAGGGCGCGTAAGATCTGCGGTGGCTCGAGCCGATTACGAGTGCAGCAGGCACTCCGGTGCAAGGCAGCAAAGCGAGGAAAACCCTCGCCTCGACCCCATCCAGAAAACTTCAGCCTTCCCCAGAGCTCTGCTTTTCAGCACGTTTTGTGGTTTTCACACAAAAGTCCCAATATTTTGAGAGTAGGAGGCACTGAGCATGTGCAGCCGTGCAGGCTCGGCGGCTGAGTGGGTTTTTGGATCAGCTCGGTGCAGTGCTGGGAACTGCTGCTCCTCTGTTTGGACAAAGCAAACCCGTTTTAGAGAAACCAGGAGATAAAAGGGTTGATTAGCCTTGATCCTGTCCTGCCTGAGCCCACCAAACCCAGGTTGCGTCTCCCTTTACAGCAGCTCCCTTTGCACCGGTGCACGTAGCCCAGCCGGCACTGGGTGGGTCATCTCCAGCTGCGGCTGGCAGAGCTGGCAAGGGGGACAAAAAAAAAAAGCAAAAAAAAAGAAAGCTTCTCCATTGTTCTGGGTGAGCAGGAGCTGCTAGCTCCGACTTTCGGGACAGGCCTTCGCCATCCAGATGGAGCGCTGCCAAATCCCGCAGCCCCGCTGCTCTTCCTCCGGCTCCGGCTCGGCTGTGCCGAAGGCAGCTTCCCTCAGTCCAGCTGCAAATGGGGTCCCTTCTCCCTTAAAAGGCAGCCAAAGAAATGGGAACCGAGAGCGAGAAGGCAGGAAATGGGGCTTGCGGCTCTGGAGCTCTCCTGGAAATAATATTCTTCTCTGCCCGTACTGTTTGATTTTTTTTTTCCTAAGCCCAACGCAACAAGCCACTGGCAGCGATGTGGCCCCAAGAGCTCTTTTGCTTTGCATGAACATTTTACAATGGGGGGGGGGGTGTGCGTGTGTGGAAAAAGTCCAAGCTTCGTTGATTAGAAGGAAAGCAAGATTGCATGGGAAGCGCCTGTGATCTGCCCTGCCAGGAGCCCGGGCATACCCTCCCTCAGGACCGACCGCACTTTCTCCGATTACTACTCTCTTTTGAAATACAAAGGGGTGGCACCTGCGGAGGAAGTCGCAGGGTGGTTCCTTCCACACCTCTGCCCGTGCTGCTGACCGAGAGAGATGGTTTTAGCATCCCAAGTCCCCCGGAAGCGATCGGCCCCAGTCCCTGGGGCTTTGCCAGGAGGTTCAGAAGCTGCCTCCCCCCTCCCAGCGTCATGGGGGGGCTCCCGCAGCTGGGGACTCGGGGACCCACCTCACAGCACGTATCCACAGGGAACCAGGGTTGGGGCGAGCACGAGGGTCTCGCTGACCAGGGTAAAAGGGAGCTGAGCACGAGGGTCTCGCTGACCAGGGTAAAACCAGCGCGTCCCACTGCCCCGCGCGGGCAGGGTGGGCAGGGAGGGAGCACAGCGCAGGCAAGTCACCCTCCGGGAAACTAGTATGTATTTGCTTTTAAAAAAAACCACTTCTTGAAGCATTTTAATTAAAACAATATTGATTTTAACTGAAATCCAACCCAAAGCGATGTTTTTATTCCGAAAAACTGGGGCAAATGATGCTTTGGAGGGTGACTCCACAGTGCCTTTGGGACTCCATTTAACAAGTGCCACATAAAGGACCTCTGAGGTGACCTCTTTTTGCTCCCACAAAGATGCAAATGTCTTGGGTTGGAAAGATTCTCACATCGAATCAGGTACACCTGCCATCCAAATGCACGTCGGCGAGCCTGCCAGCAGAAATTCATGGCACGGGATCAGCCGTGGAAAACGAGGAGCAGCAATCGCCCCGCGCTGCCTCAAACGCCCGAACCGGCACGGGAACAGCACAAACTGCTTCAAACCCCGTCTGCGTCCCCCTCCCTGCCTGCCCTGCATGGAAACTCCCTCTTGCCAGGTGTAACCCATCAAATATTATTTTAAGCATTAATTTACTTTCAGTAGCAAATGTGAAATTGGTTGCAAAGGAGAACGGTTTTGTCCGCGAGCGTCTCTTTGGAGCTGCCTGCAAGAGGCGCACCAACTTCTCGCTGCCTGTTCTAAAGATCAAATGAAGGGCCTGAGGGCTGAAATCCCATAAAAGACAGACCCTCGCTCAGGAAAAATTCACTCCCTTGTTGTATAAGGACAAAAGAGCAACTTGGTTCAATTTGGAGAGAAACAGGCTGTGCACACGTGGGCTGTAGGGATGCCAGGAGACCTCTCATCTGGATGGAAACCACCCGCTTTGCCCCAAAAGGCAGCAGCAATGTGTAGGCAGGGGGGTTGCAGGGAACAGTGAGGAGGAGGAGCTCGCCGAAGAGCTGGATGGCCCCTCCGCAGCCTTACTTGGTGAAGGAGCTGGAGAGGAGTCCAATGAAGGCGATGGCAGCTCCCGAGGCTGCTGTGGTCCTGCAGCCGATCCGGTCGGTGAAGATGCTGACGATGGGAGAGCAGAAAAAAATCATTCCCATGGCCAAGGAGCCGACCCATGCTAGGGAGAGAGAGAAGAAAGGCGACGGTCAGGGTGGGACATCAAACAGGTGCCAGAAGGAGAACAACCAGGGACCGACTCCAGCTTTGAAGGTGGGCTCGGCAGAGAGGCAGCCCCCTCACGCCGTTAATTAACAGTGCAGCTCATAAATAACACGGTTACCGCCCGCGCTGCCCACCAGCGTCACGGCCGGGGCGCAATCCGCAGCGTCTCGCTGTTCGCCCGTGCGATGGAGGCACGGCCAGGTTTTGCTTTTATTCCCCTCCGCTGGGTTCATACGCGTCCTAGGGAAGGCACCAAGCTTTCAACGCTTCTTCCTAATGGCCCTTGCCGTGCCTGTAATGACGCCTCCACTGATGCCGCTTCCATAGGGGACATCTCCACAGTCAAAAGCCCCCCGAGCTCCTCAGAGCCCTCTGCTCCCTGGCTTTGGCTATGAAGTTTCCTATCTTGAGTTATAGCTCTGCGTTTCTGGGTGCTGCACTCATCCCTCATTGCTCCCCATTCCCCAGAGCCAGGACTGCCTCACCTCCCCCTCGCCCCACCTTCAGCGGGGATTTCTCGTTGCAGCAGAGCTCATGGGAGACACGCAGGTTGTGCCAGGTTAGATTGCATCCCTGGCCCTGCCGGGCGATGCCCAGGTGGGACGGTGATCTCACGTCTCCTTCCGACCCACCTCTGGAGCAAACCACTGTCTGGCTGGCTGTCTCTTTTCAGAAGCTTTTATTATTCGCAGATTATTTCAGCCTGTCGTCTTCTCCCTGCCCTCCACCTTCCCTCTTTAATGGTTTCTGTGACTATTCTGGGGAGGAAAGGCAGGCTTTCAAGAAAAGCAATGTGGTAAGGAAAAAAAAATCTCAGTCTACCAGCTCTGAGGAGAAGCAAGAGGTCCCCTCGGCGGGGCGCGGGGCAGGGCAGGACGGACGGACGGACAAGGGTCCCCCAGCCCTACCCGGCACCCAAGCTGGGGGACCTCCTGGAGCATCTCCCAGCTTCAGGCGCTGGCTCTGGGCTGCCGAGTGCGATCTGCCCCGATCTGCCCCACACAGACCCCGGGACATGCGCTCCTTGCTTTTTTTGTACCTTCTTGGGGGTTGTTTTTTTTTGAACCGAGCGCTCTGCAAACCCTTTTAGCACAGCCCGGCACAATAACAACCTGTCCTTCAAGAGCCGTGAGATTTTCAGAAAATAGCCAGGTCCCTATTAAAAGCAAATCCCGGCTATATAAGAGCCTCTCCAACCTCTGCCTTTCAAAAAGGACCACACAAAGAAGCCCTCGCTAGCCTGGGAAGAACTGACCCTTCCAAATTAATTATAAGTTCGCAAGGACCCAATTTACTCCGAAGTCTTCCTTAATAAATGCAGAGCGGAGCAATAAAAAGAAAAGCAAGGGCTGTGCGGGAACCTCAGGGGACTCGCCAGGCTCTCATCTCGACACCAGGTGAAATGCAAAAGGGCGAGGGAAAAGGAGAGGACCCCCCCTCTCCGGCTGATTTTCTTGGTTATAAACACAAGGCACAGTGTAATGAAAGTCCTTCTAATAGGATTAGATGGCACAGCTCCAAAGAGCCGTCCAAAACAACTCCAAGAGGGGGTGAGGGGTGGGAGCAAAGCCAAGATGGGAAAGGCTCGTTAAATTGGATAATATACTTCCAGAAATGTTCCTTCTACTCCAGCCAAGGCAGTAAAACGTTAGATGGCCCCATCATGTTTGAAGTTTGTTATTTTTGGAAATTACTTTAAGAAATGCGGAAATAAAAGCATAAAGCAAAGTATTAAATTTAAAGGGCCAGATTCTGATCTTAATAACCCGGAGATTTACATGCAAATAAGCAATATCAATCTCTGGCCCCAAAAATGCATACTCACCTGTGGAGATCAAAGCAAACCCGGGGCGAGAGGCTCAGCAACGGGCGCTTAAAAGCTCCTCCAGCTTTGGGTTTGTAAAAAGGAGGTATCACTCAATTAAAATCGGTAAACACAAAAAAATGAGTCCCGTGGCAAATTGCTCTACCTTAGAGAAAGGGCTTACCACAAGCAATGAATAAAAATAGGCTTGGGGAAGAACATCAAGTTAAAATTAGTAAGAACAATAGCCTCACTTCCAGAGTGGGGTTTTGTCTTCCCAGCGCTTCCCAGCGAAGCCCCGGGAAGCCGGGAGGGCTGGGTGAGCTCCAGCGCTGGAAGGAAACCTCGGCAAAATCTGGGGGCAGGACAAAGCCGCCTCGGCCCCAGCTCCAGTCCCGGCATGATTCACACCGAAACAGCCCCCAGAGAGCAGGTTGCACAATTTACCCCCCCCACCCCCCGTTTTATCCCCAGCGCAACGGCGGGGGTCTCCTTTCACCTGGGCCAGGGCAAGGCTGGAGGAAAGCCACGGCAGAAAACCACGGGTTGGAAAGAAAAATGGGGATTCAGGTGAAGTGTAGCCCCAAACCTGCCCCTCCAGACACGGAGCTGGCGTTCCTGGACCTGCTCCACGGGATGAAGAGTTTATTTTTGGCAACCTGTGTAACGTGGTATTGAAGTTTCTCCTGGACTTTCCTGGACATGAAGGGCAGAGGCAGCCATTCCTCCAGTGGAAACCAGACGGGGCTTAACCAGCCTGAGTCAGGGCTTCCCTTCGGCAGCTTCTCAGATGCTGGAGAAGTTACAACTTGATTTAAAGCCCACAGGAAAAAAAAATAAAAGGGGGGAATCTTTGCTTCTGATTTCCACGGGGTTTGGATGAGATGGTTAATTCCTAGCCCGGCCACACCTCGCAACCTTCTGTGGCTGATAACCTGGGCGAGATATTGAAACACACAAAGACAAGCCCCCACAAGAGGTGCGAAGCCTTATCAGCCGCGCGGTGTGATCAAGCAGATCCTAAAAGAAACAGTGGACTGAATCCAGCTGAGGACGGGGCTGGAAGGAGCTCAAGAGCTGTGCAGAATTTGGGCAGGAGCCGGGTTAAGACTTGATCAAGTCTCGAGGTGCCACAAGTCCAACCACCTCCTGGAAGTGCCAGCTGAAGGGGCTGGTTTTGGAGCTGCCATGGTGGGACCCGGCTGGCGATGGCCGAGAAACCCCCCTCTCCAAGGGATGCCTTTACAGAAACACCAAAGGCTTCAGAAACCGCTTTTTTAGTTAAAAAAAGGCATTTAAAGCACTCTCCTTTTACAAGGGGGAGTGAAGATGACTTCTGATTCGGGGGCTGGCAATATTAGAGGTGGCTCAACCCATGCTGTCCCTCCCCAATAGCCACCTCTCCACTGACCCTGCTTGGCACTGCAAGTTACACCGAGACCAGCCACGTGCATGCCACCCTGCTCCCACCCACAGCCCCTCCTGAAGGCAATGAAACAGCAGCTGGGGAGCCGTGATCCCCCGGGTGTACGTAACCCCACTTCTCGCTGCTTGCTCCGGCAGGGACAGCAGCGGGCTGGAGGATGGCAGCAGCCCGAGCTGCCACCCGAGCCCAGGCCACCTGCAGCCCCAGATTCCTCCGGAGCTGATGGGACCTTCCTGGTGGCCCTGAGGATGCTCTGGGGTATGGGAAGAGCCCAACATGGAGCTGGTGGCCCTTTGCTGGAGCAGAAAGGATGACCAAGGAGAGCATCCCACCAGCAGCTCTCCCACAGCGTGATTGCACAGGGGGTAAAGCTCCAGCTAAAGCTCCCCAAAGTGCTCCTTCCCACCCTGACTTAACAAAGACAGCCAAACTGTTGGCCTGTGAGAGGTCCAAAGCAACGTGGTCTTCAACACAGACAGGAGAAGACAGCGGTTGAAGATCTCCAAGGGGAACAGTGATGCAGTGGTGTAGGAGATGTGAGTAACATGGCCAAGCCGAGCCGCCGTCCCCAGCACCACTCACTCTGGGCTCAAGATGGAGCAGAAACCAGGGAGGTGACCCGTTTGCCCACCAGCCCCGCTGTGGGCAAATGGACTGGTGGGTGCATCAGCTGTGCCCACGATGAAGGAGCTCTGGGACCAGGTGTGCCTCGGCCACCATGTCCTCCTGGCAGCGGGTGACACCACTACTGGGGACCCTGCGGCAGAGAAGGGCTGGCATGTGGGGGTCAGGACCTGCAATGGAGCTGGCAATGCCGAGGGGCCAGGGAGGGCTGTGAGCACCACGTCTGTGTGTTCATGGCAGCAAGAGGTGGGCAGGGCCCCCGGGGTCGGTCCAGGCGGGTCCCATGCACCAGACACCAGATCAGCTTTCTTTCCAGCAAGGCCACCCCAAAAGGATGGAAAGCTCCTTCGTTGCCGGTATTCTCCTGAGCAGAAAAAGGTTTCTGAGCGCTGCGGAGCAGAGTAAGGTGGGCACAGGAAGGTGAGAAACAACAGGGGAAAACGTCACTGCTCCGAGACGCAGATCCAAACCCCCTCGGTATTTAGCTCATTGTTCCAAAAAAACATCATTAAAAAATCGTACTGCATAGTGCTTGTACCTGAGACTATTTGTTCCTTTAAAAATGAATCTCCAGGGAGAGAGAAGGAAGGGACGTCGCTCTCAGCCGTGCTTTCCCGCTGACCCAAATACCCCGGGCTGCAGGGATCAAGGACCAGGAGGTGACCTCAGATCCGCTGCTGGAGGAAGTGTCTTCCCTCGCTTCCCGCGGCTTCTCCTGCTCGCGCCGCGTGGCCGGGCCAGGGCGGCCGCTGGAGGGGACGGGGGACATGCTGCAGAGGGTCACCGTCCCCAGGCACTTGGCATTTCTCGGAGGAGAGATGGGGCAGCCAAAGGTAATTCGCCTCCATCTCCCCGTCTGTACTGCTCCTCCAGGAAATAAGTAATTTCTTGACTTGCGCTTTCTGGGGACAGAGAAGCTCTGCTGGCATGACAAACCTCATCACACATCTTCAAAGCCCTTCCCAGCCCTACCTGGCTCCCTTTTTGGGTGGCCTGGGAGCCAAAGCAACCTGGTGGCCCTGCCCACGCAGGCACTGTGGGGAAGCAGACGGCTGTAACCCCCGCTCCGCGGAGCTAATGCGTGCCGCCTGCAGCACATCTGCGGTGGAAATGAAGCAGCTGTTTTTTCTTGCGCCCTTAAAAAGCAATTTGCGTCATCCTCTTGCTCACTCAAAGTAAAGCCTGAAGCGCTCCCAATGGCTTGGTCCCATGTGCTCAACATCCCCCGCGGACCGAGCACATCCCGAGGAGGGCTGGTCAAGGCTTAAATAAAGGCAGACCCAAAGTCACATCTGAGGAGGCCACCGCAATGCACGGCAGGAAGGGAAACTAAGCCAAAGAGCAGCAAAGTGAAGCTGAGGAGCAGCAAACCAAAGCTG